CAACAACAACAACAACTGTATGCTAGTTACTCAAGGGGTGGTGCATAGTGTCAATAAAAGTGTGAGTGAATACATGCCTCATTGCTCAGTAGTAGTTTAGCCATCATCTAATCAGTTTTATAGGTTATGTAGTAGTAACTAATAACCAAGTAGTGTACCTCTTCTCTGAGAGTTTTTGGCTAGAGACTTTGTTAAACTTGTGTAGTGGATAAGTCTTGGATGCCACATATATGAGAAGAAGTGATTTTTTCTATGTTTTGCATGAAACTTGTATTTTATGTTATGAGAAAATATTTTTTCTCAATAAACAACCAGATATTTTCTATAACTTCTGGCTGGATTTCTTTGGAGAACAAGATAAGGACATTGCATTCTTTTAAATCTAACGCTGGTGTGTATTTTTGGCAATAACTGTTGTTATAGCTGCACTCTGCATAACAAGGAGATAGAGCATGAGTCTAGTGTTTGAGAGTTATCTGGGTGGTTTTGCACAATGCCTATTTTTGGCCATCTTGGGTCTGCAGCAATGGGATTGCACTGTGTTAACTACTCCCGTGTAGTTTTGGAAGATGAGAATTACACTGGAAATGGGTCCTAGATCAAAACCAGTTGGCAAAAGAGTAGTCTGGGAGAAGCCATCCATAGGTACTGGGTCCATGTATTCATGCTCACTCCTTTCCCGGCATGCTGATTCCATCCCTTATGTGTTGAAACACACAACCAATGTTTCTTTTCCACTGAATCTCATTGCCCTCCCCCACTGCTTTCATCTCTTGGGGCTGGAATATCCATGAGGCTGCTTCACCAGTTTTTGGGGCTCACTCACTTGAGAGGAGGAGGACACCAAGGAGGAGAGAGATACCAGTGAGGATCAAGAGTACATCGATTCGGTTTCTTTTCCAGTACTTTTTCCATTGGGCTGGAGAGGAGATGGATGGAGCTGCAGGGAAAGAGAGAGACAGTTGATAGAGCCTGAATGAGAACTCCAAGAACAAGCGACAGGGTGCTCCCAGAGGAGGATTTAATTGTGTAGTCACTCTGCCTCATTCACAGAATTTTACAAGAATGTGCTTGGGTCTGTTCAGGCATTATGTATGATCCAGAAAGGAGGGTGCAATAGCTTTGCCATGCCTTTTGGTAGGGGATGCTCTCCCAGAGGCTTTCCACACTAACAGACCATATACTTCTGTTTAATGTTGAAATCCACAGCACTATTATCCCAGCATGTCTATATTTTAAAATCTAAAGCTAGTAGAGAACATCAACCAATCAGTATTTGTTCACGCTGCCTTGAAGGTAGTCAACAGTTAAATATCCTTTGTTCTTATCCCACCGGTTCCACCCCAATGTATTTCTGCATGTGTGGTTCATGAATTAACAAAAATACTTCCACCTTCCACAAAAAGAAAGAATTTGCTAGCATTCTGTTCCTACCACAATCCATATATTTGACTGTGTGCATTGTCTACTTTCATCTGGTGCCTTGTCAAAGACAAAAATAAAACTTAACTTTTGAAAGGCTGCTGTGTGATGGAGTTGGGGGAAAAAGAGGCTCAATTGTGTGTGTGTGTGTATGTGTGTATACACACACATACATGCACACACACAATTGAGCCTCTTTTCCCCCCAACCCTATATTTATGTGTGTGTGTGTGTGTGTGTGTGTGGTCCTTGATAGCCCCATGTTCATGGTGGTATAGCAAAAAACCCTGCATGTAGAAGCTCTTCTACGTCCTGCCGTTATGGCAACATGATGGCATAGGATCATGCCAGCACACAGAAGCAAACTTGATAACATGTTAAGTTTGTATTAGAGAGGCCTTTGTAAGCAGTGAGCTAGGAGAGAAGGAAGATTGATTTCAAACAAGCATAAGCCCCAGGACATTGGAAACTCCATGGATGATATGCTAAACCTCAGGCCTGACCAGAGCCTTGGTGACAAATCAGATTGCTCTCAAAGCATGGGTGAGGTTCCCAATGTTATAACTGTGCAGGCAATTTTACAGATTTTGAAAGAAAAAAACCCCTCCATTTGGGAAAATGCAGGAATGTCCATCAGTTAGATATGGAACAGTGTCTCTCTTGTGCAGACTGTCTATTTTTACAGCATTCTGTTAGTGAATTGAAAAAGACATTTAGAAAATGTTTCTTATAGGAACAACCTACTCTGTCAATATTGTGTCTTCCTTCCTGATGAATAGTAACCAGGAGAGGGCACCAAATCTCAAGCGATAAAGTGTTTACTTCCCATTTTAGAGAAATGGAATATGACATTAAGTATGTGTCAAACATATATGAATTGAAAACTTGTATATCACAATCCACTTTTCAGAATTTTGCAGTGCAATTATAGCTCAAAACTGCAAAGAAAATGTGAACGCTTAAAAGCAGCATATGAAATCTACAATATGTTTTAAGGGAATTTATGCACAATATATTAGGAAGAAATAGCTTGAAAAAAGTGCATCTCTAGAAAATATGCTTTCAGGTACATGTAAGGAGAAATGTGCATGAAAATGGATATACATTTTCCAATTTCCCCTCTGAATTTGCAAGGTAACATGAAAGTGAAAGGTAATGAATGGGAAAAACAACCGTGAGCCTATCTTCATTAGATATTTACAATGACACTGCATTGGCCTGGCAATTCTAATTTTACCCTCTGAATTCATGATATTATTTTCCAAACTATAATGCAAGCATCCTTATACTACTATTTCTGTTCTGCAAAATATGTACCAACCAATAACAAAATATCAAAGAGAGTGAAGGCACCTCTTTCTATTGCCATAGCTGGGGCTGGGTTCCGCTGAAGACTCCTAGGAAGGAAAGGCTCTGAATGAAACAGAGAGATTTACTCATACAGACATCATACCTGTAACAGGCTTAATATCAGGATCCAATGGCTTAGCTGGTGCCTTCTGTTCACAAGAAACTGAGATACTATCATAGTTATTTTCTTCGCTGTAGTTATCATATTCTGTTCCAAAGGGGAAGGGAATAAGTTAACCTCAGGAATACATAGATTTGCACACAAGGAAGAATTCTTTAAATGCTACCTTTTAACTTTGTTGTTTGAGCAACACACACACTAGACTTCAAACCTAATTCTTGCCCATCCTTATAGTATACATTTGGCTTCCACTAGAAACTGAGCAGTCTCCTCTTCAGAGTCTGATCAGGCAAGGAAGATGAACGGCACTCAACTGCTTTACCATCTTCTCAGTCCTGGAAATACCCAAGCCAGTTTTTGCATGACTGTGTGAGTGTGTGTATGATCCCATGTATGCATATGCATGAGTGATCTCATTCACTTCCCAGCACTTAATTGATCAAGAGAAAAGGCACAGGAACTCATATTTGCTGAACTTGAACCATTCCCATATCCCTGATAAATGTCTTCCCACTAGCTGAGATGTTAGAAGGGAAGCTAATTCAAAGGAATCAATTGTTTTAATTAACACCCCCTGTAGGCGCATAATCAGGAAAGCAGTATGTGGCACTAATCAAAACAGGTGCAATACAGATAGGATATGGGCAGCACATTTTTTGTCAATATAGTTTTTCTGCCGACTCAAGGATGGGTAAATAGACCACAGCTCAACACTGGGAATGGTCCTGTTATGTAAACCATTAGTGAATCTTCAACAGAGTTATTTGTAGGACAAATGCATAAGAGTATAGGACTCCACATTTTTAACAGTGATGAATATGAAGACATTTCAACAAGAATAGCTTGTTGTTCTAGAGCAATTTATTCTTCTACACAACTTTTACAGGTACAGGAATCTTGTCCTCTGTCTGACCATTCCAAATAGACTGTGGCCTCATCCCAGATTTCCCCTCAGCCTTCCATTTCCCTCCTGGAACTGAGGATCAAATCAAATCCCAAATTCCTATCTTCTAATCCTGTTTTAGATACATTTTCCATATAGATGGCAGTCTACAAACCAACATTACACCCACTGAAGCCCAACATGTACTCTCTGAAATGTGCCATGTCACATTCCCCCCTCCACAGCCAGGTTTCAATTCAGTTACCTTCAGTGCTGAGCGCACTCTGCTTTGCAGGCTCAGGAGGGAGAGAATGCCAAGTCTTGCATGGGACACTCTCTTCCTTTCTTAGTGTGTTGCCATACATGGCTTCTGGGTATACACTTGAGAAGGGGAGAGGTTCTGAATGGATTAAAATGGAGACTCTCAAGTTCTTAACATGGTCTCTGGATTTCATTTCTCCAGGAAGTCCTCAGATCTCCTTTTCTTTTCTTTCACTTCCTTTTTGAGGGAGGACAGGTGTGAGGTGATATTCTGGCAATACTGGGACAACAGCTGTTGTTGAGGCTGCACTGCGTTGTGACTGCATCTCTTTGGGCTTCTTCAGAAGGCTATCCTCAGAGGTGGAGGAGGAGTCCATGGGGCCCTGGAAACCACTGATCGCATAGAGCTGGCCCCACAAATCAGGACTGCTACTTCAAATCCAGGCCAGTTTCTTTTATCCAGTCAGGAGTGGCTGCTAATGATGTAGAACTGAATGTTAAAGTGCTGGAAGACACAGAAAAGGCAGATTGCAGGGAGGAGCTTCATACTAATAATTGGCCTGATAATTGGGAATTGCTGTACTCTTGAGTAGTCTTGAATTCTGAATAAACTAATGTGCATGTGCTGGGCTGAGGTAGAAGCTTAAAAGTGTTACTTAAAAAATATCCATCTGAAACTTCTCTGTGTTGAAAGCCACACCATTTATAATCTTGCCTTGTGTGTTCATGACTCTGTGTCAGCTCACTCATCCAGACTTCTGAACCTGGATTGTGCTCTACAAGGAATCCTCTGGTCTTAATAATGCTACCTCTGATAATCTGCACAAAAGAGGAATAAAATAAATTGCTAGTAGATCATCCTTCTATGTTGTATGCATTTTCTGGACATTTGCAAAAACTATGAATGGTTACAATGAACTACCAAACTAAAAAATTAAAATCTTTTTTTTTCTGTTTGAAAACTGCTGCAACACTGATGTTTGCTGCCTTGAGTTATATATAAAAAGGTGGAGTAAAAAATATCTAATAATAATAATAATGATAAGAAAGACAAAATAGTCTGGATAGTGGACACTGCAATACCTGGAGACAGCAGAACAGAAGAAAAAGAACTGTAGAAAATCACAAAATATAAAGACCTGCAAATAGAAGTAGAACGACTATGGCAAAAGAAAGC